ACTCCAATTTTTTGCTTATTCCACATTGTATTTCTGAAGATTTCAATGATGCCAGGCCGAGTTCTGACGCACCTAACTCGGCACTTGCCCTAGGGGCAGTCGTATGTAACGGTAAAGATAGTGAMGTTCGTCCTGTCAAAGAGACCATGATATTAGATGATGACGAGGATGAGGATGAKGATGATGATGACACTACTCGTTTATGCAAGGCTATTGAACAACTAAACGAACGAAAAGAAAGGAATCACTCTTTGGACCTCCAGTTTGCAATTGATAATCAAACGCTTGTCACCTCTTTTAAGGAAGAAGCGTCCTATCCTAAGGATTCTTCCTCTAAAGATTTACAAAACAACAGCGATAAAAACACAAATTTAAACGAGGACAAAGAAAYTCAGAGTTCTAAACCTGAGGATGAGAAGGAAATAAATGATAAGGAAAAAGATGTACCAGAAAAATGCTACGAAAATGATGACGGGAAAGAATTAGTAAACAAAGAATCTTCAGAACTGAATGACACGAATCAAGTAGTTTCTAGTTTGAACGGCAATAATGAACYTCCTCRCAAAGAAAACGAGTTAGAATCCGCSSAGGTGAATAATTTGGAAAATGGAAACAAATGCTTAGAACAAAATAATGACTCTGAAAAAATTGAGGAGAATGAAATTTTGGAAAATATGGCGAGTAGTTTGAAGGCTGAACTTAGCAAAGAAGATGGAGATTTGGGAAAAGAAGGCGATGCTTGTCAAGAAAGTTTGGAGGAAGCATTCCTTGATGAAGTGGAGAAAATAATGGAATCAACAGTAGAGAAGAGTGAAGAGGACAGTAGTGAATCAGTTGAGGTCAATATTGAAGAAGGAAAGGATACAGAAGAAACAAGTACAGCCAAAGTGGAGGAAGATGCAAGTAAAGATGATAAAACTGTAGAAGAAAGTCGAGACGTTGGAACTGAGAGCTGTAAAGAACAGAAAATTGGAAACACGAATTTAGATTCGAGTGAAAAACGTGGGACAGAAGAAGGAAGTGCAAGTAACGTTGAAACGAGTACTGCTGATGCAAACGATGGTGTTGCAGATCCTGTTACRACTAGTGAAGAAATGCAATCTCTGACTGAGGATTCGGAGAAAGGTGATTCGTCTGGTGGGAMGGACGCCTCTGTGAGTAATATGTCTTCTGATACGGTTACTTGTGATGACAATGCTAGCTTGGTAAACAAAGATTGCGCACCGTTGGGAGAAATTTCATCGACAGACAATGATAAAGTTAGTAAAGAAAATAATGTCGAAGAAGGAAARGAATGTCAAGGAAGCGAGGAAGGAGAGGGAGCCACATCTACTGCCGAAAAGTCAAGTGACGCAGAAGCCACGTGTCAATTGGATGTAGTTGTGATGAACGACGAAGATAAGGTGGAAAAAGAATTGGATACTGGAAAAGACGTGTGTGTCACTGATACCAGCAATATAAAGGTCGATCAAGAAGATGGTGTGAAGACCAGTAATGTAGAACTAAGTACTGTAGAAAAAACAAGCAGTACTGTTAAAGTTGATAAGGTGGGAGAAGACAATGACAAGGAGACAGGAGACACCGCTCATAATCTAAGCACAAGTACGGTAACATTTGCAAGCGCACTTGAAAGCCTAAGCGATGTATCCTATACCAARCAACCAAGTATTTCTTCCCAAAACTCACAAGTCACGGACTCTCCGAGTGAGAGCAGCGTGTACGACACCCCAACCTCCTCGGAAACGGCCATCAGTGCTTCTGATAGCCAAGCAGATACGTCTGGCTCATCGGTGCCTTCTAAAACAAGGAAACAAGCGTCCAAGGATAAAACAGATGATAAGAAAGGCAAGAAGAAAACTCAACCCAAGGGTTTGTCTGGGTCTTCTTTTGTGTCTTGTTTGCCTGTCGGGAACTGTGCTGGAACTACCTCGCCATCGTTTACCAGGTGTAACTCGGTGTATGGCGGAAGTACGAGATCAAGGTATGGAAATAATAATAATGATGATGATGATGATGATGGTGATGATGTGATCAGGATGACGATGACGATGACGATGATGACGACGACGACGGTAATGATTATGATGATGATGTGATGATTTGCATGATTATATAAAGATGATGACAGTGATGATGATAATAATGATAATGATGATGACGATGACACGTAATACTCGCAAATAATAAAACGGTTTTATCTTCTATTTAGGGAGGGAGACACGTCACAGTTGCCAATACTCCAGTTTCGAGTTCTCTTTGCTCAGCCTTAGTCTCGGTTGCGCGTTATAATTTTCAGCTATTCAAGCAAAACCCGTGGCATCAGTTATAATCAACTCAAATTGTTCCGTAGTACATACATTCCTTTTAGTAATACCATAATGAAAGAAAAGAAGACAATTGTACYCAATCGAGGCTAAGACTGAGCAAAGGYAAACTTGRAATGRGAGTATTSAGCACTTTACGTGGTWATCCGAGTCACWGCAAATKGCTAACCATTTTTAGATATTTAGATATCCATAGAACAAAGGCATCGAAAGCTTTTTCTACTGTAATGCAGAAGATTATATCTAACATCAGAAGTGCTTCATAATCTAATTTCACAAATCTATTTCCATCAGGTTTGAGTTGGCCAAGAAGTTCATGAAACGTCAATTGAAGTTTACACATCAAATCTACAGGTATAGGCTACAACAAATGTAGTGGAGTCGTAAGGTCTGGTTCAGTTAGGCTGCGTTTACACGGYACCGAAAGAATTTTTAACCGGTTTAACATTTGACCTGTACATACCGTCGATACGGCATCACCGTTATACGTTCCGTTTACACGGAACCGGATCCAAATTTGCACGGATAAGTGGATGCTTCGTTCGGATAGCTCAGTTCCATGTGAAGGGAACCCCTTAATGTACAACTCAGTTTTTGAACAGTTAAAAATTCGTCCGGTCGGTACCGCGTAAACGCAGCCTAAAAGTCTTTCCTTGTTTATGATGCATTTTTTTGCAAGAAGCAGTCTTAAAAGCTCCTATAACAGAAGGCGTTCCAGCACTTGTTGTGTCGAAAGGCTTGAGCTTCGATCGTTTTAACGCAAGAATTGTATGGTTTTTTTTAAAAAGTATTATGCCAAAAAGAACATTTCTTTTCAAGTCTTAATGCATGGTTTTAAAAATGTCGTCGAAGATCGCGCGACATTGGAACGAAAACGCAGTTATTGTTGCTGGTTTCTATGCATTCTCGAATTTCTAATACTACTTGAGTGTCCGGAAACTAAGGACTTGGTCTCGGGGAATTTGACAGTGTAATTGGGAGTGCTCATCGTGGGCCTTGTAAACAAGGAAACAAAGATAGCAAATTATCTTAATTATGTTGTATTTTAAGTTTACGGTTTTATTATTGTACCAGGCTGACTTGATTGTATTTTTTCATCAGTGATATAGGTGTGCAGGCTGAACGCGAGCCGTATTTTACTAAAGAACGACCAGATGGCATCGAGTCTCACCTTATYATCTGTGTACACGGCTTGGATGGTATGTATTGATGGTTATTACAGCCGCCATGTTGGATGAATTTAACAAAAGATTCGTCATTAGTCTTTTTTGTTATATCATCCAACATGGCCGCAGTGTCTTTTGTTATTTCATTCTCTTGGGAATGATTGAAAAACCAACCAGCAATTGAACAGACTATGTGACCATGAACATTGCTACATTGAATTAAACCCCAAGCTGATGTCTTCAAGTCTCGAAGGAACTTTTTTTTGCTTCCTGAATTAGAAATTGGTATAATTATCTTGAAAAAGAAATAGAAAACGCGCGCTTTTGCTAAGTGTAGTTGGAAATCACGCGCGAATTCGAAGTTGGCAGGACACAAGAGAAGTATTAGAAGAAATACGGCGCGTAGACACATAGACTTCCCTTAACTATACCTCAAAATTTATGAAACTTTATGAATGCCTACAGGCAACAGTGGTGATCTTCGTCTTGTTCGTTGTTACCTTGAGATGTCTTTACCGTCTTCCCGCATGGACTTCCTCATGTCCGAGGTGAACCAGGTATGTTTCGCTATGGAAACGTTTTCGAGTAATGGGAAGATAGAACGGGGGCGCCTCTACTTAATTCAAACGCAAAGCTTCATGCGTCATTGTTTCCAATTGACCTCCTCGCCTTGGGCGTAATGTTTTCCCATTTCAGACCACGTGTCATTCCCTTGAGAATTAGATTCTTTGTCGGAGTTGTATCCATATTCATGTGTCTTCTCATGTGCAACCGAGCGCAACCGTTAAACAAAGAAATGATACTCTAGGGAATGACATGTGGTCTGAAATGGGACAACATTACGCCCGAGCCGAGGATGTCTATTGAAAGGAAGGCAAGGGGGCGGATGGCGTAACGGTAGAACACTTGACTCACCGGGGCACAGGTTCGATGATTCCTGCACACCGCATGCAGCAGCACGACACGTGAGCAGAGTTTGTTGGGCCTCTCCTCCTTCATTCCAGGATTTTTTCCGGGTTTACCTTACTTTTTTACCTTCCGAAAAACTGAACGCGCTAATTTCTAGTTCCTCCTAAGCCCAATTACAAGAACCGTTACTATATTTCTGTTGGTAACCCTGTGTACTAGAGATTCTCTCGTTTCATCTGATCCTCCTTGCAGCAATGATGAAAAATGGAAGCGACAAGGCCAAAATAGAGTTTATTACCCTGCGTCTTATGAATATTGATTTGATTCTTACAGGCAGATACGTTCGTCTCTTTTGAGGAATTGACCGAAAGACTMGTTCAAGAAATACGTCATTATATTGATGCTTACTCGATATTCCCCTCAAAAATAAGGTGAGMAATAACATTATTTATTATTTATCATTTTCTATTAAAGTAACCTATCGATCAAAGTTTATGAAAGAAAAAACCATTGATTCTGGAAATGTTTTTTTTTTTTTTTGTTAGTTTCGTTGGCCACTCATTGGGTAACATTATCATTCGTTCAGCGTTAACACATCCTGACATGAGACCCTTCCTGGACA